GTAGAATTTCTACGATGATCTGGTCGGCGAGCAGAAATTCGGTCCAGCCTACTTTCGACTCTTGAGGTGGCCCACGTAAGCGCCAGTGAAGCAAATTACAGGATCGAGCGCATTGTTCACTATTTGAGCTGTCAGTCGGGGACGATCTGATCGAACTCGACTCTCCCCCGTGGGCCTGATACGATGAGCTACTGACCCCAATTATATCTCACCAAGTTGCATTTGCCTGGTTACCTAGGGATGCTTCGGCCGGCTGTTAAATGCACCTCGCTCTGTCAGTGCAATTTGATTGACACTGACAAGCAAACAAGTTCCGCGTGGGATGCCACCGCGGCTTCTGTCCGGCATTGCCAAGTTCAAACTTCAGACTTGCTCCTGGGACCTGAGTGAACAAGGTTCACTGCAACGTGCCTGGCGTAAAGTAACTCCTGCTAATTATCCAACCCTGGAGCTTCCTCGATTGGCGAATCCATTCAATACCCCCGGCTCCGGCAGGCTCCCCCGGCCTGTGCTACCCTGGTGTTTGCTTCGGTCTCGTTGGACCTCCTCCATCTCCATCCAACCTCAACTTTCTTTTCTGCTTTCATCCTCGACTTTCCTCCTCGAGACCGTCAGACCGCCTCGGCATTTGCTTGGAGGCATTTTCAAATACAGCCACGGCCATAATCCGATACTGTCTGCCCGCCCCTCTCTGCCACCATTTGACAGGTCAGTCGACCAGTCAACCTGCACCGGCTCTGCCTGGATAAGCTTCCCCGTTGAACTTCGCGGTTCCGCACGACGTGGCCCACACATGTAGGTACTGGCAATTTTCGCATTCGTCGGCCGATGGCAATGACTCGCCAGCCTTTTGGCTGAACGAACGTTGGTCCCGCCGCGGGAAGGGCTGAACTAACGAGTGGTTCTTCGTACGGCCGATACACTGAGACAGTATTGTCCTCCGTTGCTGCCCATCCACCGATCCAATCTAACTTCACTCGGGTATCCATGTCGTCCACTCTGGCTTACTCTGCCTTCTTTCGCATCGTACGATGGGCAAACTTGCCGAACGCCAGGCGGCCCTCGAGACCGAGAAAACTCTTCCAGATTATTGCAGTTTCCAGTAAGGGTACCATCAGCGTACCCCATGTACGGATAATGATGGTCCTTCGGCTTCGGCCGAATCGCAACCACCCAATTCCCAAAGGCAAAATGCTCAAGGCAAGGCATGCACCGAGGGACCACGTTGCGAAGCAGGCCTCAAAGAATCATCCTGATGCACAACGAATGCGTGGTTATCGGGTTCTTGTCTGTTTACCAGCAGGCTGAATACTTGGTCATAAACGATAACTGAGAGAGCTAGCATCGAGTCTCGACTGTTGTGGTCCCCAACTTGCTGCTCCGACTAATGATTTCTTTTTCTAGGAGATAAAATAAGTCAATGCGGACTGACGATTTCTCTGTCGATCAAGAGCTATGGCCTCTCGCCACCAGTCATCTAGCAGGGTCATAATAATACACTCTCGCTGCTTGCACATTGTGCACTTTTGAAGCTCCAAGATATGACGCTGCCCCCCTGGCCCGCGGTTTATGGACCTGGTCACGATCCGGGGCCTTGGAACCCATCTCCGCTTTCATATCGAGCATCCGCCTGGGAGGCATGTACGGATACCGCGAGATCATCAATTTAACAGTCATACAGGGAATCTCATCCTGATCACAGACTGGCTGGGTCTGTGAGGTGACACTTACTGGTTTGATGTGGTCCTTGAGGAAACCAATAGCCTCTGGCGTGACAAAGCTGATCAAACCTCTATCACAACCCATTCTTGTCACATACTCGCTACGGCGTATCATACCTGTCAGATTCTTGGGCCACAGAGCCATGCTTTTCAGACGAAAAGGGTTCCTCTTCTCCGGACCAACGATGCCGAGGATCCAAAATAGTCCAGTCAGAAACCGACCCTAGTGTAGGACTGGCATCATCCCACTCGACCCCGTATTACCTACTTTGTGGGGTTTTCTTTTCTCCAAGTGTGGATTCGCTTTCTCCCAAAGCATCTGTCTTGCAGATGAACAAGAACCACACGGAGTCGCGGAACTACCGGAGAGAAAATTGTCGTGCGCCTGGCGACTAGCAATTTCTCTGTGCGTATATGCAGGCCTGGTGGGCGACCCTGAACCTGTCAATCCCAGTCAAACCCTGGACGTGGGCGTGGCTGTCCTGAACCCTGCTTCCTCGCGGCAGCTGCAAGTTGCGTCCTGTCTCTCCATCATGGCGCAGGATGTACTGCTAAGCCAGCAAGTGACCCGATTGAAGGTATTGCTTTTCCATCTTTGCATCTCGTATAGCTGTCGTTTTTATCGCAATGGCGGTGTTAACCACGGATTATCGGCACGGAGAACTTGGCCTTAAGAGGAAGATTTCTGAAGCGAAATTTCGTTGTAAAAGAAGGTTTTCTGGAACATGCAATCTTTAGATGGAGAAGAACACGATTTGGGCCTGGGGTGTTTCAATCTAAAGTACGGAGTAGTTGAGAGAGATACACTCTCAAGACCTGGTCCCCTCGTGGGGAACCGGTACATGTATGGGTGTTTTCTTTTTCCTCTCTGAGCTCCCTACCCCCCACTGAGTATTCTTTTCTGACATATGGGATGGCGCAAGTTGGGCCACATACGCCAGGCTGAGAGTGGGAGGGCTTATAAGATCTCGCCATCCGCGTTTCCGTGTCAGTGGGAGCCCCGATGTCTCTGGTGTTTTGCCTGAGCCATACTTCGCCATCTCGACTTACAACATGGACGGCTCACTAGAAACACGAGTTCCGCACGATGATATCCAATACAGAGGCATGCAGCTCTTTGCTGTCCAGCTGTCCTTTATGCTCGCGGCCGGCTTCTTTGTCTTGGCAAGAGCCTACGTTAAAGTATGCATCGTCAAGAGCTTAGCCGTCGATGACTGGCTTATCTTCGGGGCCATGGTTAGTACTGTTTCCGACCCTCTCATTTTTCCCTACTTGCCACTGACATGAACATCTCGCAGCTTGGTTACACAGCATACGGTGGCATCGCCCTCCATGGCATCACCAACGGTGCCACAGGAAAACACATCACAGAACTCACGGTCGACCAAGCCGCCGTCTCCCTCAGAGCCTGGTACATCTGCGAAGTCTTATACTCCCCGATCACGCTGGCGATCCGAACCTCGATCTGTCTCCTCCTCCTCCGTCTCGCTCTCAACAAAGTTCACCGCTGGATCATCTACGCCAACCTCGTCGTCGTCTGGATGATCTCCATCGCCTTCTTCTGCATCATGACCTTCCAGTGCATGCCTCCATCCTACTTTTGGAGGCAGCTGTACGGAGACCCGGGGTCGTGTATTAACTTCAACATAGTCCCGGACGCGACCATTGCACACAGCATCATCTCGGCGATATCAGATTGGTGCATGGGTTTGCTGCCGATTGCCCTCTTATGGAACGTCAACTTGAACCGGCGTACAAAGGCACTTGTTGCTGTTCTCTTGAGTATGGGCATGGTGTAAGTCAAGATATCCTCAATACCGTGGCGGAGCATCCTGTTTCTAACAAACATCTAGTGCTGGCGTTGCTCTTATAGTACGTATACCATATGTGAGACGTCTCGCCATCTCGGCAGACTTCCTCTACGAAACAATGTACGTCCCCAAATGTCTGACTTGACAGGAGCACCTGGCTAACCTTTTCCCCTCCACAGCGACGTCGCCATCTGGAGTGTCCTGGAGCCGGCGCTAGGCATCATCGCGGCTTCGGTCACCAGTCTTCGGCCTCTCTTCCAGAACTGGGGTTTTGGATGGAGCAACAAGAGCAAACAATCTCGTCCGTCTGGCGCGGGCTGGGTCAATACGAGCGGCCACCCAGGAACGAAAGAAACGTCCGGCGCCGTCGCCAGGGGAGGCAAATCCGAAAATTCGAATTCCACCGTACGGACATTCAATGACATTGACCGGGCCTTGTCCGGCACCGGGTCCGATATCGAGCTGAACAAGACGGTTCGGGACGACGGGCGGGACGAGTACGAGGAGTACGACGCGTCGAGGCCGTCTTCTGATCTCGGTCAGAGGAGTCACGTCCAGGAGACGCAGGCGCGCGACCGGCCGGTCATCAATGTCCGTACAACGATTGATATCATGTCGCACTCGAACCACTCAATCGACCAAGTTCTACCGCCGGCGGAATGCTCTGCTGGCGACAGGGAAGAAAAGGGGGCGCAAGGAGAGCCGGGGGATCGCCGGGGCAAGGTGATGTAGGCGATGTGTTATACCCATTTCATTACAATCGTTGTTTTTCCTTTTTCGTCGTAGAGTCCGGCTATAGATTGGGATATACGGAGTTTGGGCGTGCTCATACCTCGCAGCAGGAATGTGTTATATAAAGAGGCTATACGCCTTCAGGCCGGGTAATTTGACCACAGGCTTTTTATGAGGAATAACGAAGGAACGACCTGAGATCGAGATGCTGGAATTGCTTTCGAAATGATTCGTTCAATGAACTGCATCCTCAGCGGATCGTATTTAGAGGCGAATTGCAGTCTATTCGGGGCCAAATACTAATCCATCGTTCACATCGCAAGCTCGGCTCCGAACTACCACTTTTGGTATCGTGGAAGCATGTCGCAAGACCTCGCGGCAACTTTCTGGGTCCCGCTTCTCTGAGATGGCCTATTGATACGTCATTTCGATATTTTTCTTCAACTTCTGTGGCAACATGGCAATGGGCTCTGCGGATATGGTCGGATACCTGCATGTGGGAAATCTCCGACCACAGCCTCACGCTGGACGGGTTCGTTCGGTCCCGAGCTTACGAACTCGGAACAGCGCAGCCGTCTGGAGATGTATAAAAGACATCTTCACTTGTAACGAGGCTTCCGAAGTCCAAATCCTAGGTGTGACACTCTTCGACTATTCGACCTTACCTAACTCTTCGAACCTCACCCACACTGTACATCGTCTTACATCCTCACTCCCCGAACAACAGAACTCCAACATGAAACAGATTCTCAGCCGGCCGGTCCTCACCGCAGCCTCACTCCTCTCGATGCTGCCACTCACATTCGCCCAAAACGCCCAAGTCAAAGTCTCATTCGACTCGACGTTCCGAACCGTCGCCCCCCCAAACGACGCCTTCGCACAAGACGCCTCACACGTCCGCGTCGTATCAGCCATCCTCCTCGCCCTCTCCCTCATCTTCGTCCTCATCTCCATCGCAGAAAGCAAGCGCTGGTCCTCCACCGTGCCCACGGCCCTGACCCTCGGCGCCGCGACCTGCGTTCTGCCCGAGGCCGTGGACAACTACCTCGCAAACTGCTACTGGTCGCAGTCGCACGACCCGTCCCAGCTCATGTTCACCTTTCTCGGCCGCGAGTTCGACCTGTACGTCGGCATCATCTGGTGGTCCTTTGGCGCCGTGCTCGGATGCACCATCTTTGGCGCGCTCATGCGCGGGGTCAGCAATAAGACGCTGCTGGTGTTTCTTGGCCTCGCGGGTCTGTTCGACGTCGTACTGGAGGAGTGCCTGCTCAACTACGGCGGGCTATACCTCTACTACGGGCACCAACCCCTCGTGCTGTTTAGTTTGTTCCCCTGCTGGTGGGCATTCTGCAACGTCTCGGCCGTGTTTCTAGGCATCGCCATGACGTACCGGTACCGCGAGTGGTTCAACGGGTGGAAGGGCGTCTTTGTGCTGCCGATACTGCCCTTTTGTTACGTTGCGGGTTGGTCTCTGGCGGCTATGCCTACTGTATATGCTGTTCACGCCGACTATAAGCCCGTTGTCACGCAGCTGTGTGGCATTCTTACGTGTTGTTTGGCTTTGCTCCAGATTGGGGTCGTTATGGATGTTGTTCTTGGGAGGCAGGTGTTTGAGTCCGGCCACACTTCAGGTCGCGTGGTTCGATTTGAGGAGAAGACGTGGTCGGTCAAGTCTCGCAAGTAGGCTGCGCATCATAAGACTCACCTTTCGTAAAGGATTGGTGTTGGGAATACAGGAGGTCGCCTGATCGAGAACAAACTTTTTCGTTTCAGAAGAGGCACAGTACTTTTGTGAAGAGTTTAGACAATAATTTCAGAATCTCTCATTCACCAGGAACGACATCCGCTGCAGGAACTGATTTGGCCATCAGACAACATGACTCTATGATTTGCTATCAATGTTGCCAGTTGCATCAAACTCTGAAATGTCAGAGTCATTGTGAGGTCGTTATCAATCAGGTATGAATCAGAGTTCTGCAAGCGGAAGCTTTGCTTGACTGATGAGCAGAAACTGCACGTGGTTCCGAAAGGGATAGGCCAAAGTGTGCGCTACGAAGTGACCGAAGCTCAGGGCATCTTCCGCTCGGCAGTAGATATCAGATGGCCTCCCTGTGCCGGTAACCTTAAACCCACCACTTTCCGCCCAAGAGACGATTGCGCGGCTTTTTGTGATCCCGATACAAACCATATTGCAATCTCTCTGCACTTCCGCTAGGTATACCTCCCAGGCTGGTTCAATCATCACTGTGTGACTACGAGTTTCATACTTACCCATCGATCACCATCGTCAGCCTGGCGTCATGTGACATAAAGGGACACCGCCCTGCTCTTGCCCAGGCATTCCCGGTCTAGACTTGGTACACTTTCTTTGTCGAGATACGTCACATCCTAAGCCCTGTTTTGCTCTGAAGTTTGGAAGATTGCCGAGTCCTGAGAGATAAGTTCACGTAGGCGGCTATCGCGCCTGTCTGCAGGATGACTCTTAACTCCCATAGTGACACGACAGCACTTACACGGACTATGAATAGATCACGACGCTAGATGCCTCTATCAGTGATCCTGCGAAGCCCCTTTTGCCCCTGTCGTCTGCCTAAGGACCCATGGGGAAGCCGTTGATGCTTGGCTATGGTCAAGCACTGCCGGTCAGTCCGTCAAAGGCTTCTGCGGCTGAGGAAGTGCCGCAGAGGCCGATGTCAAGTCCAACAGGCCTCAATCTATTCACGCCATCGTCGATCAAAGTGATTGGCTGTTTATCGGGAGCCGTACAAGAAGACGAATAAGATACCGTGATGATCCTGTCGCTGATCCAGTCTGGTTGGCTCTAGGTTGCACCGAACAAGTCCGAATACCCAACTGCCTAGGGTAGGGTAGACCAGGACCATCGTGAGGCCTCTCGGCCATGGACCCCCTTCCTTCTGGCTTGTAAGGCGTTCCAACCGATTCCCGGGAGTTTGGAACCACAGAGGGAACAGCGGTCCTATGCTTCGAAGAAAGCCTTGTGAGGTGTTTATGACGGTCGTAGGAGCACGCTGCACAGCAAAATGGACCGGGTCGAAGAGGGCCGCGACAGTTGGAGGGATGCGGCCGGTGATGCGGCCAGAGGAAGGCTGTGATTTGGTGAAGTTGGATATCTCATGGAACCCAGAGCCTGATGGACGTCAGAAAAGGGAAGAAAGTGGGGCGCGAACATATTCGCGGTCGCAGAAGCGGCCGGCCCGTTCGGGGCTGTGATTCCCGTTTTCGGCGTAGCCACGGTGGGGTTACTACCGGCCCGTTTGCGCGGCCCCCAGGCCCCAAAAGGCAGCGGTGACTGGACAGTTCAGAGAATGCCTGGGTTCTTATTGGGCACTCGGATTCTGGTCTTCTTTCTGGACCAATGGCAGCAGCGCATTCGTGGCTTGAGCCGTGGCTGGATGTACTCCAAGCCTGGGAAGGGAATTTCTGGGTGGGAATGGAAGGCTGCCCAGGAGCCCACGGCACCGCGACGGTGGACGACGGCCCTTCGGCGGTCGGCCGTGCGGTTCGGCCTTTGGGCGATAGACGCGACCCCACTTTTAACCTCTTCACCCGGGCCAGGGTACCTTACCCAGCACCCCGGCAGCCAGGATACTGCCTCTCTCAACTTCGACTTCTCTTCTTACCATCGTCATCGTCAAAGTACGATTTATCGCAATCTGGCGAACCACAGCACAGAAATCAACGTATCTCTGCTCCAACATCTCATCGTTACAGCGCATTCTACGTTTCCCCCGGTGCCCTGTTGAGTCGTCCCGCCTTCCCTCCACCCGCTTTGCCGTACTTCGTCCTATGAATCGCGCCAGACGAGATCTTCTCGGTCAGTTATCCCGTTGTTCATGCGTCGTAGCTTTTTCCCCCAGACCCTGGACATGGGAAAAGAAGAGATCAATGCTCCTCCCCATGCCACGCGCGCGCGGCCGGTACGCCACACACGGCGCAAAGACCTTCGATCTGCGCAGTCCGATGTTTCTCTTTGGGCCCTGACCTTACTCTGCATTGCTTTCCCTTCCACCCAAACTTCTACGACCACCTGATGTGGAGTTTCACGACCCAAAACCTTGTCCCAACTCTTTTGCGCAGCGACAACTGTTTTGCGCCCTAGCCCGATCTTTTCCAAACCCATCCAGCCTTTCCCGGCATGGTTGCTGAGCTCACGGCACATATCCAGACTTCGGTCTCGGCCAGAGCGAGCCGACCTCCCACATCCCTCCACCTCATCCCGCCTGATTTTTCTTCCCAGCAGCAACAGCGATCCCAGGATCAGGGGCCGGGTGAAGATGCAGGAAAGGAAAAAAGTATAGAAAATGGAATTGTTTCTAGAAGGTGATCTGATCAACTTCTCGCAAGACCAGGGGTGGGAAAGGAGGGATCCCGAACCGGCCAGTAGTCGTCCTCGGTTCTGCTCTTACTCCTTTCTACCGCACCCCTCCTCCTGCTATGCGTCATATCGTCCATCTCCATGGGACCTGCTCGCCCACCACTCATGTGCAAGTACTCCCAGGACTCGTCTTGGTCATGTCTTCATCTGCCTCCTCCCGCTTCTCCCCCCCTGCTCCAACATCTTATCCAGCATCGCCAGCTTCGCCAACTAGCACTAGCATTGGGTCTCTGGGGGTCTTGTCACAGTTGGCCTCACTCCGCCCCCCCTTTTCTCCTTTCCCCCTTCCCATCCCCCCCTGCCATCTGACCTTTGGATCCTATAAGTAACCCGTGAACCAATTCACCATGGAGACCCCTTCTTCATCAGCAGGCTCTGTGAAACATATAGAACTTTACTGCTCCCTCGCACACCATAAATGTCTTCATCATCCTCTCCCACCCCCGTAGCCAAATTCCGAGAGCTCTCTCTGGGAAGAAGGATGCCTCCCACAACCAGAGCCCGGGCGCACCGGCAGTCCCTCAGCGATATTACCACCTCAGATTACTACGACGATGAGGACGACGGCGGCGGATACATAGACGACGATGGCGGCTCCAGCAGCTCCGAGCCAGAGTCCGATTCGGACTCGTCTCTCGTCGACGACGACGACCACTCCATCATCCGGTCCCCCTCCAAGCTCGTCTACAAGCTCGACACGCTCTCCCACGACGCCCGCTTGCGCGTCCGCGAGGCCTTCAAAGATCCCCCCCGCCTCTCGCTGCAGTACTGCCGTCTCAGGGACGACGTCTACGCCTTTCAAATGACGGAGCTCGTGCCCCGTTCCATCCGTATAGGATCCCCCGACAGCCCCTTCGCGACGCCCCGGTGCTCGTGCCGGGAACAGCAGCAAACGGCCGGCCCGCCCTGCAAGCACCTCCTCTGGCTACTGGATCAGCTCGTTAAGCAGACGCTCTACGATTACGACCCGGCGTCCCCCCTGACCATGACCGCGGACGGCTACCCAGAGGAGATTGGCGACCCCTTTTCAGACATATCGGCCTTCCACCTTGACGTCCTGGCTGACGGCCTACGCTGTGACGTTGTCACCCCAGGCTCGGAAGAGGACTCTGAAAACACCGACTCGGACGAGGCAGAAGAAGACGAAGATCAACGGCAGCACCCGAACCCTCACCGCGTCGATGAAGCACGCGAGATGCTCTCAGCTGTTATGTCCTCGTCCTCTCCTGAAGACTACCGCCCAGACCTCTGCTCAAATCCGCCCTCCACGGGTAAGAAACCAGTCAAGCGCCGCGACCTCGAGGGCACAATCTTCCGCATGCTTCTCGCCAACAACGACTTCTTCCACTACTTCCTCTCCCAGATGCGCTCTACAGACCCCGTAAACGACCCCTTTCGCAAGCTCTCCCAGCGCGTCGACCGCGTTCTGCGCGAACTCGACTCCTACGCCACCACCTCCACCACCATCCCCTCCTCAGAAGGCGGCTCAGCAGAGGGCCCTCGTGACGTAGCCTGGGCCGCACGACACATCAGCGGTGTAATAGGCCTCGTCCGCACCTCAATATTCAAGCGCGATCGGCCCCTAGAACCCCAGGAGCGAACAAGCGCCGCCCGCACCCTAGTACACATCCTCGCCGCCGTCGTAGAGCGGAACCGCGACTTCGTGTCCCCGACGTCGACGACGAGGCCCGCCGCCATCGCCCGTCGAGACAAGAACCTCTTCCTCCGCCTCGTCGGGGACCGCGACGAAGACTTCGTCCTCGGGGTACTGAGTCTCCTCCCGCCCGACGCGGCGGCGCCATTCCTCCACAGCCTCGAAGACATCCTGGACCAGCTGGGCGTCAACGGTGCGCCGGCCACCTACGTCGAAAAATTCCGCTCCCTCATTGCTCGGCTGAGGAGGTCGGGAGGCAGCGGCTTAGCCATCACAAGTTCGCCGGGGGCGGGGTCGAAACGCCACGGACAGAGTCAGAGCCATGATCGGGGATCCAAGAGGATGAGGTGACGTGGGAGTACACGCACACGTCCACGGGACCATATTCCTACACTGCATCCTTTTTTGTTGAAGATGGAAAGATAGGGAAGCACAGAGCTTTCCTCTGGACCTTGGGGAGGACAAGTCTCTTACCATATTTCTCTTCACTCTTGTGTCTGTGACACTCACGCCCTTTATCTATACTTATCATGTTCATGTATATCCCCTTGACACTACCTGTACTCCCACACATCTTGTTTCTCATTTAGATTGCATGATTGTTAGAGGATGTAGCGCGCCAAGTCTCTAGGCA